TCAGCAGTCACTAGCTAGATGTGGCTACCTAAGCTTAATTTAAATGAAATTAAAAATTCAGTTTCTCACTCACACTTGCTGCTTTCAAGTACACAATAGCTTCATGTGCCTTGAGGCTATTCAATCATTTTATGGACAGCACAGATATGGAAACTTTTTTTTTTTTTTTTTTGATCATTGCAGAAAGTTTTGTTGGACAGCACTCCTCTAGAAATCAACTACTTGTTCTGCTCACTAGCTGAGTGTTATGGATTGAATTATGTCCCCAAAATACGTGTGGTAAATCCTAACCTCTATGCCTGTGGCTATAATCCCATTTGGGAATGGGTTGTTTTGTTATGTTAATGAGGCAGGATTAGTGTAGGCTATATTTTGAGTCAATCTCTTTTGAGACACAAAAAGAGATTAAACAACTCAGCAGAGAGAGAGAGATTCAGTAAAATAGATGCCAACACACATGGAGATCTCCAAGGAAACAGAAAGGAGAAACTGAAGACACAAGGACCTTCCCCTAGAGCCAACAGAGAGAAAATTTTCCCCTTGAGCCAACACTCTGAATGTGACCATATAGCCTCCTAAACTGTGAGAAAATAGCTTCTGTTTGTTAAAGTCATCCACTCATGGCATTTCTGTTTTAGATCTGGTGGCATAGTGCCTAAGGCATTTGACTACTAACCAGAAGGTTGGCGGTTCAAACCCATCAGCCATTATGCAGAAGGAAGACTGCATAATCTACTTCCATTACTGCCTCGGAAACACAGAGGGTTGCTATGAGTCGGAATCGACTCAGTGGCAGTAATTTGTTTTTTTTTTTTTTTCTTTTTGGTAGATAACTAAGGTAGTGAGTAAGCTTAAGTTTTGTGAATTTTAAATAAATATATTTTAAAATAGGAGCTAGCACATGGCTCTTATCATTATGAGCTAAAAATGCTTTGTATTGAGATGCTGTCCCTATACACAGGTCTGGATATCTCTACAATATGTTTGCATGTAGCATTTTCTACTTGATATGAGCATAAGAGGCTGTCTCAAGGATAACATTATTGAATGTCTAAAGACACCACTTGGAGTCCCCAGGTGGTGGAAACTGCTAACACATTCAGATGGTAACTGAAAGTTTACAGGTTCAAGTCCACCCAGAGGCACCTCAGATAAAAAGATCTGATGATCTCTTCCAGAAAATCAGCCATTGAAAACCCTCTGGAGCAGAGGCTACTCAGATACCTGTGGAGTTGCTGTCAGTTGGGATCAACTCGACAGTGACTGGTTAAAACCAGCACCCACCCTCGAGCCACGGCAAAGGATCTTCCTAGGATTGGTGTCTTACTACACTTACAACACAGGACAAACTCTCCGTAGGAGTTTTTGTTGTTAGTTGCCTTCGGGTCATCTTTGCCTCATGGTGACCTCACGTAGAACAGAGTGAAACACTACCTGGTCTTGCGCCATCTTCATTATTGTTAGTATGTTTGCGTCTACTGTTGGCTATTGTGTCAATCATCTCATTGAAGGTTTCCCTAGTTTTCACTGACCCTCTATTTTACAAAACGTGATGTTTTTTCTAGTGATTGGTCTAGAAATCCCTAAATATAGAGCTACCCAATATAAGAATCCCTGTGGCCCTTGCACGTTTCAGAGTTGGGCTAAACAAACAAACAAAAATAAATGCATTGCCTTTGTTGATTTCAGTTCATGGTGATTCCATATGTTACAGAGCAGAACTGCTCCATAGGGTTTTCTTGGCTGTAATCATTATGGAAACAGATCAGCAGGTTTTTCTTCCCAAGCATTGCTGGGTAGGTTTGAACTGCCAACCTTTAAGTTAGCAGCCAATCAGAAACCACTGGCACTACCCAAGGACCTCAGAACTGGTCACTTGGCTGTAAATGGGCAAGACCTATGAGGGTGCAGATTCTTGTCAGGTGTTATAGGCAGATCCAATGTTCAGAGTAAACAGCCTAGCCCTCTGATACCATGCTTTCTATTGGACATATCCAAATACTCAGTACAGTTTTTCAGGTAATCCCAAGCTTTATTGTTAGGAAAGTCCTGTTGCAAATTTTTACTTTTTCCTTCTGAATTACCCATAAAGTTTTTTCATTTTTCATTGGGAAATATGACATAATCACTAATATCATTTCATGACTCCTTAAAGCACACAAAAAAGGAAACCCACAGCCATTGAGCTGATTCTGACTCACAGCAACCCCCACAGGGTTTCCAAGGTTCTAAGTCTTTCCAGAAGCCGGCTCCCTCAGCACTCTTCTGCCGGGTGACTGGTGGGTTCCAACTGCTGACTTTTTGGTTAACAGCCCAATGCCTTAACCACACATAGCCACCAGAGTTCCTTCTTTAACAGAAAATTTTTCAGAAAAAAAATCTATTCATTTACATGATTTTTTCAATGGTCAATAAGATATATCATCACTAATCGTTCTTTTTTTTCTTAAAAAATATTTTACTCATCATAATTATTAAAATTATATTTCAACAAGATTTTAAAGCTTGGAATCTACCTGAAGTGTCAAAAATTCCATATCTATGGTTGAATTTGAAATACATTAAATAGTTGAACAGAGTAAACCTGTTGGTTTTGTTCATTTTGTTGACCAACATATATCTGAAGGTGACTCTGGTTTTTGCTAAGCAATGGGTGTGCACATAAAATAATCCATACAGAGCTCTTGAAAATTGAGGGTTAATACTTTGTGTGTTACTCCTTAGACTAATCTCACTATGTACAGTTAGGGCTTAGCATACAAACTATGTCAGAAATATTTCTCCTTGCTGACTCTTATTCATTATCCACTCTTTGAAAATCCTCAAAACTTACTCTTTTCAGTAAAACTGTACCCCCCTGTACATTCTGGGGGATTTCATCCAAATTAAAGCTCTCGGCTGTGACTAAGTGACAATCTCTAGTTCAGACCTTTCTTGTTTGAGGTCAAGCTCCCCATTTTGAATGGCTTGAGTAAAACCAGGTCAGCTTATTTGAACCCATGAAACTTGGACAAACCCACTCTTATTTGTTATTTGATACCACTACTCTCATTCCATTGTCCAAGTTAAAAGCTCCAGCCAGTCATCTCCTCCATCTTCATTGTCCTCAACACCAAAAAAGTCACTATTATCAACTCTTCTTCATTAGGCAAAATTGTTCCTTTTTCCTCCAGGTCTCCATCATCTGTTGTTTAGATTGTGGCTGCCCTTATTCCCATAGAAATGACATAGTTTTAGAATTCTCCTAACTGGTATCCTTTCCTCTAGTCTTACTCTCGCAAATACATTTTCTTCACAGTGTTTTTCTAAGTTAAAAAAAAAAATGCTACTTTCTTGCTTAATCTTTCCTTGGCTCCCCACTGTTTACCAAGCCAGATTTGAGATCAGTCTACGATAGAAAATTGGATTTTGATCCTACTTCCTAGCTTTACCATGTACCACTAGACCACCTACCTGGAGACCAAATGCATCTTGTTTGTTATCTATTGACTGTTTTACACATCCTGGATCATCTCCCTGGCATATTCTTCCCCACTTCTTCTTCTTCTTCTTCTTTTTTTTTTTTTATTACCCCCATTAGAATATAAACTCCAGGAAGGCAAGAATTTTTATCTGTTTTGTGCACCATTATACATCTAACACAAGAATAATGCCCCCTACAGTAGCTGAAAATTTATCTGTTGAATGAGTCAATGTATTATTTCAAGGATCTGTTCCAACACCACCTCTGTGGTGAAGCCTTCCCAATCCCTCTTCCCAGGCACAGAAAAGTAATTGTTTTCTCTTTTGCACTTTCAAAACACATCACATATACAAGTATTTTAGCATTTTCATCATATGATACACATTTACTCACATATCTGTCTCTCATATTTCCTTGAGTTCCTCGATGGTAGAAATACTGGCTTGCTCACCTTATGTTGTTGTCCATTGCCATCAAGTCAATTCCAACTCATGGTGACCCCATGAGTGCAAAGTAGAACTGTTCCATAGGGGTTCAAGGCTGTGACCTTTCAAAAGCAGATCATCAGGGCTTCATTCCAAAAAAGCCTCTGAGTGGGCTTGAACCACCAACCCTTTGGCTAGTAGTCGAGCACCTAACAGTGGCACCACCAGCAACCTATACCTTTATAGTGTCCATCATGGTACATAGCCATAGAAGGCACTCAAAAATGTTTTCTGAATGGATCAATGAGTGACTCCATAACTGACTAATTATAGTGGAAGGAAAGAAAAGAACGATTTAATATGGGATCACACATACACACATACACATACACAAATGTTAGCGAGGAGTAAGACACACGAACACCCTACATAATCAATGTTTCAAGAACTCTGCTTGGTGAGAGACAGATATTATGCAGACTGGCTATGTTGACCTTTCATTCACCTTTGTAAAACATAGTTTAAAAAGACAGTCTCTGGCTCATAAAATAAAATAGGTAAATTGTAAACCCATCAATTTGAAATTTTTATAATGGCAATTCTGATAGATTTTGACCTTTAATGAACTTCTACTTTTATTATACATTTATTATATAAAAACGTTCTGTTCTTTTGCAACAAAAGAACCATGACTTGTGGCTATTTTATGGCATGTTTCAGTTGGTTTTTGCCTTGAGTCACCTCAGCAAAAATAAAGAAGAGGTTTCCCAGCAGAATTTCAGATAATACGCATACTGAGTGGGAAACAGAAGGGGGAAATGCTAATTTGCTTTATTCAAGACTCATCTCAGATATAATTCTATGCTGCCCATGCCCATGCTTGGGTTGGATAGATCCGTTTCTAGAACCTACACTTCCGTGACCACTATCTGATGACATATGAAAGCCAAAGAATGTCTTCTCACTTGCTGAAAGCATTCCTACGCAGCATACCTCAGGATGGGCAGAGCCTCACAATTAAAAGCACAGATGGTACGTTGGTAGCATCAAAATGTCTTTAGAAACAAAATTGGTAAATTAAAATGTAAAACAACACATAAAAACTAGACACCTCAAGCATGTAATTGTATATTTATTTCTCTTTTTTAAAGAACACTCCTTAATGTAATTCAATATACAAACTTGGTTTCACAGAATAATCCACTATTTAGCACAATGATAACCCAGGTTGTGTATGCATGCGTGCACACACATGTGCGTGCACGTGCACATGTGTGGCACCCCTTCCCTCTATTCCACTCTCCAGGACCTCCAACAACAGCTCCCTCACCTTCAGACCCCAACCAAGTGCCATTCTGAGCGTTGTGTACAGAATACGTCATCCTCCCACAAGTTCCTTTCCCTTCAAAGCTTCTTTTCCCCTTGCCCCCTGAGGTAGCCAGGAGTGTGACACTCTTCCCCATTCAGAAGGATAAAGTGGCTTCCCCTAAAGCTGATGTCAACCCTGTTACCGTGTAGACTGGCTGACAGGAAGCGCTGGTGAGCAGGTCTCCATCCCGTCCCTGCTTCCACACCCCACCCTCAGAGTCCAAGCGCAACCCCTCTGTAGTAGCCTCAGCTCCAGTCACCATCCTGTGCAGCAGGAACTAGAACCAAGCAGATTTCTAAGCCCAGGTCTTCTCCATGGGCAGCGCACAGCACTGCCTGCCAAGCCACCGGGCCGGCCAATAACCAAGCTTTACACAGTCCCATGTGCTTTGTCACTTTAATTTTTAAAGACACTCTAGCATAGGTCTGTGGCAACCTAGTGTCCAACTGAGTTACATAAAATTGTACCAGTGATGCACTTGTACATATTTACATGGGGCGGAATGTTTTCCCATATTTTTAGATGAGTATATAGATCAACATGTTCACATAAGACCAAATACTTTTAATATTATTTATAACTGATTTATAAAGCTTTGAAAAAACTCACAATAGCACATTGTTTACTTTAATGCTTTACGGTACTATCAGTTTAAAATCACAATCAGCACTTAAGTTATAGTCAATCCAGCAAACAAGAGACAAAAAAATTTACAAGAGTTAAGAACTGACTGATACATCCTTTATCTTTTTCTTTTAAACTAATGCATAAGTGCAGAATAAGATACTCTAGTTTAAATATCTTGTTTACAATATACATTTTTGTTCTAGTTACGCAACAGTAAGTCCCATGCTTCACATAGAAAAGCAATCCACAACATTAAGAAAAAATGTACAATTTATGAAACAAAGTAAATAAATATTAGTATTACAGAATCAGAGCTGTACATAAAAGCTGTTCAGTTTTAATCATATAAAAATATGTTTTAGTGCAACCTCACATATATATTGATGCGGTTTTGCTTTACATCATTTAGATCCAAGTGTCCAAAAATGGAAAGAAATTACATTTATTACAAAGCAGATACACAAATTCTAAAATATGTACAAATTACTGCTAAAAAATGCTTATAAGAATATAAGCAAAGTAAAGAAAAGGCACAAACATCTGTACAATTTTAAAAGTACCAGACCCAATAGGTTAATTTCAAATTTTGTTTTGGTCAGGCTCATGATGACTTGTTCTTTTATCTAATTCTTTTGATATAACAAAAGTATATATAAGAGCAAACTACTGTAACTTAGGACAGGCATGCTATCAACTTGATTACCTCTACTCCTAGAAAAACGAAAACAAAAAAAAAAAAAAAAAATGGGAAAATGTGTAAATGAAAGTCTCCATGCATCTTAGATCAATGTAGTTTACTCTTTTCTGATGAAGGTTCATTGCCTTCCTCTGTGCTTGAAGAGAATTCATTGCTGCCCTCAAAGCCCAACTGTTTGTCATCCACACAACTCTTGCTGTAAAACGTGGAATGAGCTAATGCGGTCTGTGTTGTACCAAAATTGTCCTTTTCCCCATCATGCAAGTCAGGGTGGGTCGCCGAGGTGCAGGACTGACCTGGCTCAGGCCCACTAAAGTGTGTAATACCAGCGTGAGCACTTTCCGAGGGTTTCTGTTGGGACTCCTGTACCCGCGCTGGCTGGTCCGTCCCAAGCAGAGCGGCCTCTTCTGTGGCAATCCGGAGAGAGGCAATGGCTTTTGTACAAGTCTGGATATTTTCCTCCTGTTCTCTCTCTGTTGCATTTAGGCTATCTTCTGAAGTGCTCTGTTTCATCAGTAGCAGAGGAGAGGAGGGAGTGCTAGGTGGACCAGATGACTGCAAGAGGTGAGGCGATCGCTTCTCATGCTGCTTAGAAAGAACATAGGGATCCTTAGCGAAGGACTCCCCTGAAGCCCCTTTCTTCTCCTCAGAGCCCTCCACTGGCAGAGGCAATGTGGGTGGAGGATGTAAACCAGAAAGGGCCGGTGGCATGGAGTGAACCATTTGGATCCCACCAACTGGCACCATGGGGATAGGAGCTCGCACTTGTTGCTGAGAGTGGAGTGGAAGATGACTGAAGACATAGTCATTAGGACCCTCAGGGAAAAGGCTGGAGCCTTGATGTTCATAAGCACCTTCTTGGTCTCCATAGAGACTGAAGTAAGGAACCTGAGGTAATCCTCTTCTTAAATTCTGCACAGGGGAACAAAGAGAGCACACTATTCAGAACCTAGGACTCTTCATTCTTATTTCATCCATCTACTCACTCATTCATTCATTCAAACACTTTAAAACAACTTTTATCAGTTTTTCATTTTCAAGACAAGAGAGTTTTCCCAGTGGTTGCATATATTATCCTTGAACGAACCTGCCAGCCTGTGAAAGGTTACTTTTGTTTCTGAACAGCAATGTGATAAAGCATGCAGTGTGTCCCCACTAGGTAGAGATACATTTCAGTTCAGTTTTTTCATAAGAGCGTGTAAAGAAAATAATGGATGATTACCTGAAAAAGTAGGAGTTCTGGTAGTATAGTGCCTGAGCCATTTGACTGCTAACCAGAAGGCTGGCGGTTCAAACCCACCAGCCACTTCTCAGAAGGAAGGTTGGGCGATCTACTTCCATAGTAATACCGCCTCGGAAACCCAAGGAGCAGTTGCTATGAGTTGGGTCTGGGTCTGACTCGATGGCACATAACAACAACAACCCGAAAAAGTTTATACTAATAATAGACTTTTAAATTCAAAAGGAAGCAACTCAAACTACATATAAATGTATCTATGTATTTTAGAAACACAAAGATTGTCATTTGTTTATATACTGGCAGATTTTTAACATTTTTCCTAAGTGTTGATAAGCATAATTGGATTGGCAAGTCTGAAAATTGGTGTTTTGTTTTCGTTTTCTACAGAACTGGCGACAAAATGGCGTGATGACCCATAGACTGGTGGTTCCCTTGTGGGACACGTTAGTTTAAAGGAATAAATTCTTGCTAAAGGGTAGCTTCTTTACCAAATCACATATCTTAAAAAAAAAA